CAAAGCAAAAAGCCCCCGGGACCTACGGTCACCAGGGGCTCAAACCTTTTCAAAATTTCAAATCTATTTAAAGCAAAAAGCCCCCGGGATCGGCCATTAGAACCGATCAACCAGGGGCCAATGCATACCATGCACCACGGATCTTAACCTCTCAAAAATTTTAAAGCAAAAAGCCCCCGGGATCGGCCACTAGGGTCGATCAACCGGGGGCCAATGCCAGCACCATGCACCACCATGGCTCCAAGAGCCATCAAAAAAGAGAGTAAGGAGAAATACAACGGGAGGGAGGCCTTAAGAGAGTCATAGTTACTCCCGCCGTTTACCCGCGCTTGCTTGAATTTCTTCACGTTGACATTCAGAGCACTGGGCAGAAATCACATTTAACCAAATCTATTATAGCTAGTAATTCTCGACGAGTCACGCAATAATTCTTCTCTGTTTTGCTCAGCACACGGCTAAAGTACGCAATAACTTTCTCTAACCCCTCCTGTCTTTGAGACAATACCGCACCGATCCCAATGTTGGAGGCGTCCGTGTCTAACACGAACTCAGTCCCCTTTTGGAAACAAAAGTATTGGGGAGGACGTTAACACTCGTTTCAAATTTTTAAACGAATTCTGACATTCCTTTCCCCAAATAAATTTTTCTTGATTCCCGGTTAACGTGAAAAGGGGTTTTGCTAAAGAAGAGAAGCCTCTCACAAATTTCCGGTAGTAAGAACAAAAACCTAGAAAACTGCGTGACTGTCTTTTGGAGTGAGGGACCGACCAATCTTTCACGGCAGAAATCTTATCGGGATCTGTTGCGACGCCCTCTGCCGAAACCACATGTCCCAAATATTTTACTTTATTTCCAAAAAGTATACATTTTTTAGGATTAATTTTCAAATTAACTAAACGTAGTTCAGAAAATACTTTCCTCAAATTCTCTAACATCTCTTCGAAACTTCTTCCAAAAATAATAACGTCATCCAGATAAGTCAAACAAATCTTCGATAATTTCTGTAGAATTTTTTTCATTAATCGCTCAAAGGTAGCAGGAGCGTTACAAAGACCAAATGGCATCACAACGAACTGCCATAACCCATTTCCGATAGAAAAAGCTGTTTTCTCGCGGTCCTCTGGACGGATCTTAATTTGTCAATAACCGCTCTTAAGATCAAGAGTAGAGAACCAACTGTTACCTGACAACTGATCAAGAATATCGTCTATTCTGGACGTGGGAAAAGAATCTTTTTTGATAACCTCATTTACTTTCCGAAAATCGATACAAAAACGAATTGATCCATCTTTTTTTTTAACAAGAACAACAGGCGAAACCCAGGGGCTACGTGATTCCTCTATCACACCCTGCTCCCTTATCTCCTCGATAATCCGATCGACCTCTCCCCCTCATCCGGATAGGAATACGCCGGGGAGTTTGTTTAATCGGAGTAGAGTCCTTCAGATTAATTTCATGACTGACAATTCCACAATTCTCCGCAACAATTTTTTCCGAAAAGACATCTTGGAATTTATTTAAAAATTCGGAAAAAACTTTCTTCTGTTCTTTATTTAAATATTTAGAATCATTTTCGAAAAGTTCTTTCAGAAAGAAAGGGACCATTTTAGAAGAACTTTCTATTCGAGACAATTCAAAACCTTTCCGACACCTAGCTTCGTTTTTCCAAAAGCTGAATCAAAAATTCCTCCTAAGTTAACAATTTTCAAGAAATCTCCTCCTAATAGACATTCATCACTAATTTCCGCTACGAACATAAAAATCTTTTCAGAGAATTCTCCGATTTGAACTCTCACCCTAACCTTAGACTCAACTTGAACTCTCTCTCCTGTCGGATAGCGAAGAAAACAATTCCCAACCTGAATCTCCCCTTCAATTTCTCCAAGAAACTTTTTATTTAAGACAGAGACATCGGAACCCGTGTCGATTTTAAAGAAACAATCCCTCCCATTTAACTTCCCCTTATAGTAAAAATCACAAGAATCATACTTATTGTCACAAGAATCACTACTAATAGAACGAATCTCAACGTTCGGGGTTCTATCTACGCAGGTCGCTCTCCCCCCGCCGAGAGCAACTAATCCGCGTTTCCCTTTTCTATGTTCCCGGGGCACTCAGCCCGAAAATGCCCGACCTTCCCACAAAGCCAGCACTCTTTGGCAGAAGCACGGTATCGGTTATCGCGAGAGTAGCCCTTGCGACCGTTTTCCTCCTTCTTTTCTTCTCCCTTCTCGTCGTCTCCGTTTTGTAGCGCGAGCTTTTTATCCCCTTTTCCGAAATTTTCCTTTTTTTTTTACCGAATCCTCCGGAATTCTTTCCGTAAATCATTTTGACGGCTCTCGCTCTCTCAACCGCTAATTTTAAGGAAATCACACCTTCCAATTGAAAGGTCCTTTTTACATATCCGTCCGTTAATGCCGAGATAAATTGCGCACACGCAATTTTATCCCGAACCGCGAAGGGACACTCGGGATACGCCAAGCGAACAAGCCGCTCCAATTCGGAACCAAGAGACGCAAAATCCTCTCCGAATTTCTATTTTCGGTTTGTAAAGATTGAATAATGATTTTGAAAGAGGTGCCCCTCCCCGAAACGCAATTCTAGCTTTGATTTCAATTCCGCATACTCTAGACTTATGGCTGTGGGAGAATAGACGGTCAGAAATATTTTAAAGTTGCTTGTCTTAAAAGCCGTGCGGGACTTTGTGTTATTGCTGTTTACTCTATTTTATTTTTTATAAAATATAAATAAAAATTATAAGTTTAATTCAAATTTGTCAAATTATTTACTACAACCATACTTAATTGATTTCTCATGTTTCTTTAAAATGTAATGTATTATAGTTGTGCATTGTTATTAGTCCCGAATTTCCTTAGGACGGCCAGAGTGATGCCTGCTGCTTGTGAAAAACGATCTGCAGATCACGCGTAAAACAAAGGGAGGAATACGCTTCATCAAATTGCTCTTACTAATTGCAACATATGTATATATATATTAATAAATGTTTGAATATAGATTATGTCTCGATAATTCGACCGAAATAATAATTTCGAATTTTTATTATGTTTTGACATAATTTTAATTCGTCAAATTATTATGTTATATCATAATTTTAATTTAATATCTAGTTTGAATTCTTTATTATTATTAAGCCTCAAAATATTTTGCTATTAAAACGTACAACTTACTTGCACCCTTACAAAAATATTTCACAGCTTTTACACCTCACCTCATATAGATCGTTTTTAGCCCGTTTTTAACCCGTTTTATCATTTTTGTGTCCGTTTCTTGCACTCTCAAGCACGCGCAGTCTACTGCAAAAGAACATGATGAGTATACGCGAGTATGCGTATGAGTATTTTTGAGTAGATTGTCCGTTTTTAATACTCGTTTTTCAATCGATGAGTGACCACACGTTAATACGTTCCTTTCTTACTTACAAAGATGAGGACGAAGTAGGTTGTCCGTTTTCATTTTTCAGTTGATGAGTGACAATACGTTAGTACGTTCCTTTTTAACTTACAAGAAAATATCTGCGGATTTCGCCCGATTTTAACCCTTATGTTACATACAGTGGGATTTCGAGTCAGCTCGATTTCTATCCATCAAAATTTCTCATAATTTCTGAAAGACTCCCACTCCTTATCTCCTCCTTATCTCTAAATTGAAGTACATTTATTCTACAAGATTAAAAACTTTTTCAAACTGTACCGTAAGGGTTAAATGTTTTAGTACTTACACTATTTATCCTTCATTAATAAATAAGTGTGTTGACGATTGTACCGCCAGAACGGCGTTAGTGAGAAGTAGTATTAAGCAATATGGCGAAATAGGAAGGGTAACGGAATAAAGCTCTGTTTAATTTGACTGGATTTTCTGTGTATCCGTTCCTCAACATAATTTTGGCGCCCAACCAACGTGGCACGATCCCATGAGAAATGGGTTGTCGCGAGATAGAGACCGGGAAATAGTGAAAGTGTCCTGTAATCTCAAGGAAAGTAAACGGCGGGACGAAAATGTCGTAGCGCAGCAGGACAAGATGGCTACCGACAAGGACATTGAACAGCCACGCAAGTGAACACTCGGTTACGAGAAAAGTGACAAGAGTGCAAGGTTTGCCGGAACGGAGGCGAGATCTGTTAATGACATAGTGCAAGATCGGGGCGGCGATCATCGCGCGTCGAGTGATCCCGCGTATCGTTGAGCTCGCGAAACGGGATTGGAAGTGTCCTCGGTCGGGGGATTCTTTATCGGGAAAGTGCTGTAGCTCGTCGCAGACAGCGAGAGTGAAGCACATCACACGCCGAGTGTCCGCATCGGGACGCTCGCATCATCATAACCGTCTTCGCACGTTGAGGTCCGCATCGGGATGCTCACGTCATTGTGATTGGCTCGCGCAAATCGAGAGTCGAATCGAGAATCGATCGTGACGCTGGCATAGGGATAACTCGATCACATCGAGATCCGGTCGAAGCGCTCACATAGTAACATTGTCATACAACGGGCGTCCGCATCGGGTCGCTCGGATCGTGGAAACGCATCGCGAGTGGATACGCGTCGCCAGTGAACGGGACATAGCTCGCTCACGCCGAGAGTCGCACGTCGCGAGTGTCGGGAAGTACTTCGCGGGTGCAGAGACATATCATATCTCACCAAGCCGAGAGATGCACGTCGCGAGTGTCGGGAAGCACCTCGCGGGGCAGAGACAATCGTATCTCGCACACGACGAGATTTGCGCGTTGCGAGTGAACACGCGTTGCCAGTGATCAGGGCATAGCTCGTATAGCTATATCGCGTCTAGCTCACGCCGAAAGGGACACGTCACGAGTGATACACGTCGGGCGTGTCGTGGAAACGCATCGCAAGTGCGCAGAGGCATTCAAGCCAGCCAACCGGGAAGTAACGTTTCGAGTGCGTAAACGCGTTCATCGCGAGAGATCACAAACGCGTACGTCGCGAGATTCGAGGACTCACATCGAGTACAAAGCAAGAGAACGAAAATGGCAGACGTAAGAAGATTGAAGCAGAATCGAGCTACGATAAAAGGTCAGATGACTTGAATAAATAATACTGTCGATGAAAATACGTCAGTTGCCGAAGCAAAGGTCAAGTCGACGAAAATCGAAAGCTTGTGGGAGGCTTTCCAAGAAGTTCAGAAAAAGATTGACGACGCAAGATTAGAAGGAATCGAAGTCGCCGCAGATGAAGAAGTGCTGCCTACCGCAGAGCAAGAGGCAGAACAACAGATTTTTGAAAATATCTATTTCGAAGCAGCAACGAAGATCCAAATGGTGCTCGATACAGCACAAGCCGCTAATCAGGTACAAGCTCAGGTCGCAAGGGCAGAGCCACAAAACGAAGACGGAAGGCGCGGACGGGGCGAACGGCGAATGGAGGTCAAGCTGCCAACGTTGAAACTTCCCGAGTTCAGTGGCAATTACAATAAATGGCTCTTATTTAAGGATGCGTTTACATCATTGATTCATGAGAACGACACACTCACCGAAATACAGAAGTATCAATATCTGCGAAGTTCCGTGACAGGTGAAGCGTTTCAGGTAATCGGAGGCTTGGCCACGACTGCAGCAAACTACGAAAATGCATGGGATCTTCTTCTAAACAATTATGAACATCCGAGGCTTCTAATTAACACACACTTGAGTCAATTGCTTGATTTTCCAGCCGTATTAAAGGACAAACCAGCAACAATGCGTCAACTGATCGTTCACGTCAGAACGCACTTAAAAGCTTTAGAGATACTAGAGCTTCCGGTTGATAAGTGGGACGAGCTTCTCATACACCTGTTAAAGAATAGGATGGATTACAATACACAGAAGAGTTGGGAAGAAGAAACCAAAAAGGACAAGGAAAATCGACCTACGTTGGAGAACTTTCTGACTTTTCTCAATGAGCAAGTACGAACGCTTGAGATAATTGACAAGACCAAGGGAAAGTCGGAAGCATCAAAGACGTCAGCAGGGAAAAAACAAGAAAGAAAAGTAGCTTTGGCAACCACCTCTCAAGAAGGTTGTGTCCTCTGCAGCAAGAATCATCAGTTGTACCGATGCTCGGATTTTTTGCAGCTATCGAGTGCTGACAGATTAAAGGAGGTGAAAGCGAAGAAACTGTGTATGAACTGCTTAAGCAAAGGACACTTTTCCGCGGCTTGCAAATCTTCAGCATGCCGGAGGTGCCAGAAGAAGCACAATACCCTGTTGCATCCAGAGCAAGAAGAGAAGACTGCAACCGATAAGAAGTCAGAAGAGGACGCATCCAAGAAGGCAGTGGTAATGCACGGCACTCAAGAAACCTTGCAAGATACTGAAGAGTCATCTTCTGTAATCAACCTTGGAAGAAAACCCACGTCGTGCGTGGTGCTGTCAACGGCCCGAGTTATAGTCCATGACGTCAATGGAGGCCAGCACAAATGCCGTGCACTTCTAGATGCAGGGTCGCAATCCAATTTGATCACCCAGGAACTCGTCGACAGGCTCAGATTGAAATGTAAAAGGAGTGACGAAGTCATCAGTGGGATCAACCGATCACAAACCAATGTCGGTAAGACAGTAGAAGTAAAAATCCGATCGACGAACGCGGATTATGAGGTAGAATGTCTCGTGCTGCCTGCCATTACTGAAAGACTTCCTCAAGTCAAAATCAATACTAAACTGATTTGCTTGCCGGAGGGTTTGAGCCTAGCAGATCCTGATTTCCACACGCCAGGAACAGTGGATATTCTAATAGGAGCAGGACTTTTCTGGCAATTAATCTGCAAGGATTATATTCAAAGACCAAAGGGAATACCCAGATTACAACGTACGTTGCTAGGATAGATTGTAGGAGGGGAGCTTCTCGACGCCAGCTCGAAAACTCTAAGAAGCTTCTGCGGTCTCATCACAAATGCGCAACTCCAAGCGCAGTTAGAACGCTTTTGGAAGCAAGAGGAGACGCTCGAAAAACGGAGTCTCACCCAAGAAGAGATTGAGTGTGAACGGCAGTTCCATGAGTCGGTCAAGCGAGATGAAACTGGTAGGTTCATCGTAACACTTCCGAAGAAACCCGGAGTGAAACTCGGCGATCCAGGGAATCAAGCATTGTAGCGATTATATTCCCTAGAAAGAAGATTCAGAGGAGATCCAGCATTGAAGAATGCGTATGTTCAATTCATGGAAGACTATGAAACTCAAGGCCACATGTCGTTAATGGGACCAGGCCCAGATACGAGCACAAAGGTAGAGCAATCGTACATACTTCCGCATCATCCGGTGATTAAACCGGACAGCACCACAACTAAGTTACGTGTTGTATTCAACGCCTCAGCGAAGACATCGTTGGGAACATCGTTAAACGACAAGTTATTCGCCGGTCCAAACAAGCAGAAGAGCCTGTTCTGCATAGTCTTACGCTTTCGATCACACCCCTTTGTCATAACGGCGGACATAGTTGCAATGTTCCGACAGATACTCGTGTGCGAAGAAGACCGAGATTTACAACTGATTCTGTGGAGATCAGATCCATCGCAACCAGTTCAGATCTTTAGGATGAACACGGTGACATATGGCACCGCATGTGCACCTTATTTAGCCCTCAGCTGTTTGGAGAGATTAGCGATAGAAGAACTGGAAAGGTTTCTAAAGGCAACCTTGACGGTCGAAGAGATGAAGATGTTTCTCGAAATAAGGTTGAAGATCGAAGAGCTAAAGAAGTTCCTAAAAGAAGCATTGGACAATGAGAAATCGGAGTTTCTACAAGCAATCCTGGTCTTGCTAGAAGATTTCTAC